TGGATAACAATTAACTTTTTTCATTTGTATAGGTTATTTTCAACATTTATTTGTAATTTTTTAAACTGTGTAAACCGAGACCGTGTACAACGAGGGATAGGTGTATGTTGATATAGGCAATATTGACTGATAACTTTTTGTTTTTTAAATAATTTGTATTTAAAAATCAAAATTTCCTTTTTTAAACCGTGTAAAACAAAACCATGTAAATCGATTTCCATGTAAAACGAGGGATAGGTGTATGTGAATATAGGCAATATTACAATATAGACTGTTTACTTTTCGATCTTTAAATTAATTTTTATTTAAGTGTTTTTTAATTTAATTAAAATAAAAAAATATTTTTTTACAGATTTCAGTTATTGTAATTTTTCATTTAGTTTAGTTTAGTTTGGATTACAATTTACTTTTTTTATTTGTATAGGTTATTTTCAACATTCTTTTTTTTAACCGTGTAAAACGAAACCGTGCAAACCGAGTAAAACCGTGTTAAATGAGGGAAGAGTGTATGTGAATATACGCAATATTGCAGTATTAAAATTCAAATATTTTTTTACAGATTTCAGTTGTAGTTTTTTAATTTGGTTTAGTTTGGATCAAAGTTTTCTTTTTTCACTTGTATTGTCCCAGAATACAAAAAAATTATAAAATAATTCAGGGAATATATATATATATATATATTTTATGCAAAAGAAAAATTGAGAACCGGTATTTGATACTTTTTTTTAAATACCGGTTTTTTAAAACCATTTAACTAAATAATGATAATAGCAATTTATTATTAGAGCCAAACTTTAATAAATGAGCTTCAATAATGTTAAAATGTATTGCACATTTGTTATGTAAATTTTGCACTCGATTTACTGCGTAATTTGATCGACAAACACACAATTCACAGCTTGTTGTAGTTGAGATAATGAAATAAATTATGATTGTTATTAATATTATTGGCTCGTAAATGCAACGAAATGCAATCATCATCTTTCGTATCTCATTTATCGCCTCGAACCATCAATTTATATGGAACACTGTCGATGAGCATATTGGATTACAGCTCATTGACGATGATGATGGAACGCTGCCTACGTTCAGTTAGTTTTAGTTGGACTTTAATGCTTTGTGGACACACTGCGCCATGCGCTCGAAACGATTCCAAACGTTGATAATAGATACATTTTGGTGGGAAGTTCCTAAATCGATTTAATCGTTTTCCACTACAAAATGAAACTTAATACGTACTTCTCTTTACATCGAATACCCATCATCTTAGTGCCAAAGGTCGTGGAAGTTCTAATTCGTGTTGACTGGTTATCAATGGGATTCTATATTAGATCTTTGATGGAATTACTGTTAATTGATTTCACCTTTTCAACTATCATCAAACTTTGGCTTGAATGTAATTAATGTAAAAAAAGCATTGCACTGACACATGTAAATATATTCAGAAAGTAATTAATTATCTTAAAAATATCCATTACAATTGAAAAAAAAGTAACAAACCAAAATAACTTTAATACAATTTTATCTACTAATTGACTACTGTCAAAGTTTCATGACAATCTGACCATTAGTTCACAAATTACAGTGGTTTTAGTGATGCTACTTTTGTCATTTTCAAAAATATGGAAAATGCTGAATTTCCTGTGTTGATACAACATTGACTTATACATACATTATACATTTACTCCACGAATTGAGATGGTTTTCTGTAGCCGCATTTATATCAAATATTCTGCCAAAATATTTTTTTTTTAAATGCAATTATATAATACTTAATAATTTTTGTTTTTTATGGAGTGAAATTTTGAAAAGTACGTGAAAATTACGATAAGTACTAGAATTTAATTAAAAAATACTTTTACATTATGTTCATTACAAACTACCAAATTAATAAGAAATATTAAATAATATAGATTAATAGAAATATTATAAAACTTAACAAAACTACAAACTGATTTATTTATAAACAATTATCCTAAATCTGAACAAATTTTTGGAGTAAAATTTGCTTCAAAAAAATATAACACAAATGTATGAAACAATGAATAAAAAAATCAGTAAATAAAGAAATAATAGTCCTGAATATAAAATAAATCCAAACACAAATTAATCACGAAAATAAATATATAATTACGGATAAGAAAATAACATGGAACGTCGAACTGACAATACAAATAAATAATAAAATTATAGACCAATGAAGTGAAATAAATTAATTACGTAAAATACATTCGGTAAATTTAATTGGAACGTTTAAAAATAACAATTCTTAAGTTTTATTTAATACAACAAATTTAACTAGAGCGAAGAAATTAATTCCAAGCAAAGTATAATACAAATGTAAATTTTAACATCAAGGCTGTACGGAAATATATCACAATGGAATATTAACTCCCTGCAGAGATAAAAGAACTTATTAAGAAATATACTCATAAAGAAAATGCAAGAAATAAATGATATGAAATATTATAATTTGAAATGGAAATTTCTCTGAACAATTGCAAATTCTACTTGCAAAGTAATTGTCTTATTTAAAACGAACACAGATAATAAAGAAAAAAACCGTCACATTTAAATAAACTTGCCTGAAAATCGACGTTAATTATCATATGTTTAAGAACTTTTTCTTTTTTTTTGTATAGAGGAAACCTTACATAGGGACCACGGGTGGAGTCGTGGTACTGTGGGATTCTTACCGCACTAAAACCTCTCCTCTTCTTCGTCAGCATACAGGACCTGCCTGTATCACTGTACTACTCTGCGATTCTGATTGTCTTTGCCAGTTTGGAACTTCTCTTGAATCATGCTGGTGGTCTCCACTGCCACTGTCATCGTAGGCCATCTGTAGCCACCGCTCGTCTTTTTCTTTACTCAGTAACACATCTGTTATGCATGCTGCTACAATCTCCCAGCTCTCTGCAGAATTTCTCGTATTTTAAAAAGCGTGTGCTCAGGGCTATCGTCCTCCTGACAGTACCGGCACCTTTCGTCTTCCTTCTTTGCCATAAAGTGCAGGTGCAGCATCCATGACTAGACATGGCCTGGCTCAGGTAAAATGTTGTTTCTCCGTGCTTCCTGCTTATCCAAGGCTCTATTTGTGGGATTAGACGTAGAGTCCAGGCTCCTGTCTCCGACCTGTGCCATTTATCTTACCATTATTGCAGCAGTCTGGCTCTAGCATCCGCTTTGGTCGCGCCCATCTGCCTCTCATCTCTCTCCAAAACAAGGAGTTCTATCGGTGGCACACCAGCTATCACCTTCACTGGGTTTCCGGAGATTGTCCTGAACTCGCTGCATATCCTAATTACTTCTCTCCGTTGGACCGTTTCTAGCGCTTTCCCATGGCATATAATTAAGAACTACAACATGGCTTTATTTAAGTATTCTTAAGTAAAATTAACTCTAACAAACTATATTGACTGATGTATGAAATTTTATGCACTGTATGATTTCTGCTTCTTTACATTAAGAAACAATTTATGTTTATTTTATTATTTTTTTGTTAATGGTGCAAATAAAAATGGAAAAAAAGTCAAATGATTAAATTGATTTTGATGCAAAACATCTAATAGAAGAAGAAAATAACATCCTAGAAATTATAAATTAAATTATCAGATGGCTCAATCAATAGTTTTTTTGCACATGTCGATGAAAGGATGTTGTAAATTTATTGACGATAGATTTTTAGTGAAAAATGTATCTTCATTCTGGACATAGTCAGTTTTCCTCCAAAAACGAAAGATTCACTTTTGTGGAATGCATCCTATTCATTAATAAGTGTGACTGTATTCTTTTGCGCAATTACAAATATAGATTGTGAGTTTGAAATTTGTGAACCAAATAAAAGCAATCAAATATAATTCACGTAAATATAAATTGGGGGGGTTGAAACTTGATCATAAAATAACATTAATGTTAATGTTATGTGATATGTTGATCATTATGTAACAAGGAATAATTGCATTGAATATGTAACATTAGACCAACAGAATACAATCTAATAATGTACAATGGGAACAAACAAATGACTGACGACAGGATGATTGAATATCCTGGACCTCAAGGATACTGAAGCAGGTATTTTGGAAAGATAATAATACATATCTTTCCACAAAATAAAGGTACGATTCGGAGTGCGTGCGACAAAGAGAATTAACGATGATGCGTCTTTTCCGACCGCAAAACAATTAATTACAAAACCTCTGAAAATCGTTGTTTGCAGCGACTTCGGAATTTGCACCGTTCCATGGCTTTTATCCCAACCACTCGGTTTCATATTTATTTCCCCCGTTTCCATTGTTAATCAGTAACGGAAATGTTTTACAATCATGCTGAAATTAATTGAAAACATTTCCACGCAGACTTGTTTTTACGAACAGTAAAAAAAATGGCGAAAAGACATTACACCTTATCCCTCATCAAATTGGATCGGAATATTCATTAAGTGCTGTTTTTTTATCACCATTGTTCATGCACTGGTTTCATTTCGGTTATTGGTAGTGGAATGCAATTAACCATTCAATTCGATGAAAATCGTCTGCTAAATAAAAGTTTTCAAATCGAATTATGTCGCTTCCCGTCCAAAAAGGATTTCGCATCTATATTTGCTTTATCGCATTAAATCGAAGACGGCCAATTTACTTACTTCTTTCCATTCTCTTTTGTCTACCCTGAAAAAGAAAGACACCTTGGATGTGCTTAAATCCAGAGCTGTCCCTCACATTGATTTTTAATAATACAATTTAATATTAAGTAAATCAGACGTGTTTCTTACTAGGGGAGACAAAGAAATGAGTTTCGTGAGTTCAAGACAGGGGATTTTTTTATTAGTTTCGTAACTCTCTGCCGTGGAGTACCTTTTTTTTAAGTGCGACTCTTTGGAGCGCTTTTGTTGTGATGGAAATATGATTTATAAGTTGTAATATGCTCTATAATTTCGACGACGCAGTGCTGCTCTTCAATGCAATATATGTTTTTTTTCTTTCTTTTTACTTTTACAGACGGTTTCAGTAACAGTGTCTGTCCTGACGCTCACGTTCATCTCCATTGATAGATGGTACGCAATCTGTTATCCTCTGAAGTTCCGCTCTACAACTGGCAGAGCAAAAACCGCCATCGGAATCATATGGTTCCTTGCTCTTTTATTTGGTAAGTACACAGTTTTACACTTTTTATTAATACAAATATTACTACTAAAAATAATATTAGTAATTTTATAAAATAACTAGTCATTTTATGGAATAACTGTGACAAATTGTTAAAAAAATAAATAGGTTGATTAAACATAGACTAACTAGCTACAGTATCAAATAATAATATAACTAGATCTTTCATGAACTACCTGATTATTTTATTTACCAGTTAAGATTTATCTATGTCTTATCAGCAGGAAATATGAGTAAAAAATAATCGAACATGAAGCTTTTCCTATTTCGAACACAAAGAAATAAAATGAAATGTGCATCAAACATTAAAGATTTTGGACAATATTTACATTTGCGAAAGATTAAAAGATTTTATATTAACCTGTTTTTTTAGTACAAATTTAACGCATAAATAGTATTATTTGTTATTATATAAAATAACTAGTCATTTTATGGAATAACTATGACAAATAGTTAAAAAGAATAAATAGATTCATTAATATATATAGATTAACTAGCTAGAGTATCAAATAATAATATAACTAGATCTTTAATGAACTACAGGTTTTTCTATATACCAGTTAAGATAAAGAATAAGTTTTATTTGGTCTGAAAAATACACAAAGACATAATTTCCCAATATTTCAACAGCAGGAAATATGAGCAGGAATGAAATGAAATGTGCATCAAACATTAGAGACTTTGGACAATATTTATTTTAGCAAAAGATTAAAAGGTTTTATGTTAGACTGAATAAATAGAAATCAAAGTAAATATGAAATAGAAAAAAAACTGTATTTTTTTTAACAAAAACTAGGAGCAATTTTACGTTTTTTTTTTAATTAAATAATATTTTCTCGGAGGTAAGATATAACATTGATGGTTGCGCCCTCTGGGATGAAAGATTGGGGCAAAGATTCTAATAACTTTAATATTTATGGCAATAATAATATTGCAACATTTATATAGATAATTTCAGACACCAAAATTATGAAATAAAACTGTATGAAACATTATTAAATTGCTCGTTACGTCATAAAAGAATAATTATAGCTTTGACAAGTATAAATAATTTTCAAGTAATATAAACAAGTTGATGTAAGTTAAAGCTAAATACTTATTAAAACTTTGGAGTGATGATACACATGGAAGAGCAATGCAACTACTGACGTTGTGCGAGCATTAGAGGCAACTTTACGTCCTTTGAAGTGGAGTTAAGAAGTAATTAAAAATTAAGTTGATTATAATAATCCGATTTCAAACGGAATCGCGTGTGCTTCATGTGAGTTGCAATGAAACAGAAATATTTTATTTTTGTTAATATTCTAGAATTAATTGAATCAATGAATTGCATATAAAATAAATATGCGGATTCCAATATACGCGAATATCCTCGGAACAAATCAAATTAATTTTCATACGTCGAGTGGTTTTAATAAAATACGTTAATTGTAATATTATATGAGTTCAAAATTGTTGAAGATTAAATAGGACCGTTCAATTATGCGCTATTTAATATTCTGTAATTAAATTATAACAGTATGAATGTGTACATATGAATATACTGATCACATAGAAATGTATATATTGTCGAATGTGATGACAGGCGATTTTGTTTTAAATATAGTCAAATCTTGTTTGTCAAATATAATTTGGTTGGAAAATTGTATTGTTAAAAATCAAAATTAATTTTCCCTTTAAAAATATATAAAATAGTATACGTTTTCAAAGTAATGATGATTGCTTATTAAACTTTTATAGCAGTAATTTCTGAAAAAAAATAACTTGAAAGTTGATGGCATAAGTGATCCAGATCCAGTTTTTACGGAGATTTAGACTTGTTGGAGTAAATTTAAGATCGCGGTTGACATTAGGTAGGTAATTTTTCCCGGTGGATAGTTACCATTATGATGATTTTTAATTTCCTTTGACTGTAAATCTGCTGCTATCCTTAACACTGTCATTGTCCATCGACTTGGCTGAAGGTCCATATGCTGAACCTCATTCATATGACTGTACATCTGTGCTGAACGATGGCCCTATTGCTGCAAACACAGAGAGGGGTCACAAAAAAACTATCCGAAAATTTTGTACGGCACTGATATTAAATGAATTCTGATTTTAATTCCCTTCTTAGAGTAGTATTTTACGCAGAAAATGTATGGATAATATTGGTATTAAGTAATGTATAATTAAGTGGACTTAATGTTTATACAGACAATTGTATAGGGAGCAATGTATATATTATCATGTTAATAATATTAATTTGATATTCTGAAAACGAAATTTCAATATGTATAAATCTTATTGATTTATAAGATTGTCACATTATTTCAATTGAAAGAATAGTTCCAATAGGCTGTATATCGTTATGTTATCCAATATCAAAGTGATTCCTTTTTAGATTCATTTTGGCCGTACTATTGAAGAACTTTTTGTGAAATTATCATTATTTCTTATAAAAATTGGAACCCCTAATTGGGGTATAGAAATTATAGTCGGAAACTGATCTTTTAATAATGGTGATTTCACGTATTCCAATTTTATTTTTTGGGCAGAAAAACTGATAAAAAATGTAGTTTTTCTTTAGAATATCTCGTTTGTCGAACATTATTCGGTTGAAAAATCGTGTTGCACGTACTACCTATGAGTCAAAATAACCCGCTTATTAAAAATATTTTGAAACTAGATTTATTGCATATGTTACAAACCGTCGCTCATGCTTATACAAATACAACAACTCTTCCTTTGGATGTTGAAATGTATTCATTAGGTTGTATTTCAACAGGCATTTCACCCTGCATAATATTTACAACGAAAATTCTAAGATTTTGGGGAATCTTTTGGTCGTGCATGTATGGTTCACACAATACACGTCCTACTTGTTTTATCAAAGAATACAAAGGGCTATTCTTTCTCAATGGCGAGGATTCAGATAAAATTCTACTATTGACACTAGCGATATTTAATACACAATGTATACCATTATAGAAATGTATGAAATCAAGTTTTTTTTATCTTTTCATTAATAGTATTTATCTGAGATCAACAGTGGTTATGAAAGGTGGCAAGACCGTACTTTATGAATTTGGCGAGCTCGAAAAAGTTAAGCATGGATAGTATTAAATTAACGTATAGTGAAGAGTGTTGTAAGTAGGAAATAAATGTTATCTTGAATCCCCAAAAACGATCTCTTCCATTCACCAGCGCAACTTAGTCCTTCATTCTTTTAGTGTGGTTCATACTGGATATCAAAATTAAAGATTTTCATTATTTTGGTACATATGAAACCAAAGTTATTCCATTTTAAAATCCAAATATTGATCATATTTTTGCAAGAACTTATTTGCTATAGACGGGTCAATTTGACCTGAAATACACTGTATATTAAATTGCCGCGACTGCTTTGCTTCTACTGGAAAGTGCACTACAAAATACTGGAATAGCTAGGACAACCCACACAATGAAATCACAATAGAATGCGAATGAAAGCAAATATCTGTTCAAAATAGTAAAATCTCGAATAATTCGATTGGAAAATCGTGTGTTCAAAAACAGAATTTATGTAAAATCATATAATCTCTTCTCCTGGTGATTGATTATGATACATTTATAGCAGTAATTAACTTTAAAACAATATCTTCAGAGTTGATGTCCTAGGTAAGGAAGGTCAAGAACTTATGCTGTCTTAGTATGAGTGTTAGGGAATGTACTTTATTTTCAGAAATTTAATGACTGTGATTCCATGTTTCTTTTTAAATATTTTTATAATTGTTGATATAAGTGGAAGGCGGGAAGGAAAGTAGACAATAATACGGTCTATTTCCAGCAGGAAATGATTTCTTATATGTATAATTAAGAGCAATAGGAATATAAATATACAATGAAATAAAAAGAAAATACAATTTTATTAATTATATAAATGCATATAGAAAAGTGTTTTAGCAAATAATGCTTAAACGAAAAAAATAATTATAATGTAATTATGCAGTCCATAGTCCATCTGTGCACGAAATTTGGAGTTTGATTTTTTTAGTTATTAAAGCAATTAAATTATTCCGATTCCTCTCATCGCAGTCTGGCGAAACGTTGGGATTTACTGGCAGATGTGAAAAAAGAATATTGAGGGTGAACATAAAAAGTCAGATCACAAAAAAAATAAGGTCAGAAAGAAGTTAAGAAGTTTGAAATTGGTTTGTCGCTTGTCAATACAATTGATTTTTTTCTCTAATTTCTTATATATAAGTTGAGATTTACGTTATATCAAGGAGTTTAAAGGACCAAACAAAAGTAAAACATATACAACGGCGGAATTCTATTTTTTTATATCTCTGCGGTATAAAAGATAGGACGAGAAGATGACGTAGTGGGCGTGCATTAACGTCAATATGTCAACAAGATTTCCAATGAGAGAAAAAAAAACTTGACGGAATCATCGATTTCTTACGGAAAACCTGATTTATATTCAATGCAACATAAGCCAATTTCCATAACAATATCCATGCGTTACTTCTACTCTGTTTTCTGTCTGTTTATAAACCAACGAAATGAAAGTATTATTGTCGAAATATAATTGACAAACGAACGAACGAAAGAAAAAGAGGAATACTCTCTTTACTTATATTTTTTTGACGTCAATTCGAAATGACAGTTCTTGTTTGTTGGAGGTGTGTTTGAGGCAGTCCCGAAGCGCGAGGCACATCTCTCGCTATTAGATCGATCGAGAACAATTTTCCTTTAAAATAAAAATTTTCCTATTTTCCCTGAACGAGGACAAACATTTATACAAAAAAAAAACGAGAAGAGCCATAGATAGAAGAGAAGCGGAGTATACGATCTTTCGTCGTATGTCAAATAAATAAGTTCATGTTTAATGAAACGAAAATACTGAGAGCACTCCGTAGGATACGTCTCTTCGAGTCCTTTTCTTATATTTTTTTATTTACGAATCACAGAAGAAAATTCATGCAATTATATTAATTGCTTATGTATAAAGTATAAATC